AGGCTGAGGCTGTTTAGGGCTCTAAAGGTCAGCACCAACACTTTGAATTGTGCTTGGAAACGTATATAACATGTCGGTATCCCCGATCCCCAGCCTGCCTCCAGCTACTGCTTCATGCTACAGATGCAGAAAGGAAGTGTTAATCTGATCCATCACAGTTAGCAGCCCTAAAAATGCACCTCTCCTGAAAGCCATGCTAATCTCAGAGGAACATTAGATGTTTCTGTTACAGTCCGACACTGAAAAGGGCCTGTTTTTCTCCTTTCAAAGGGCTCAGAGCGACAGTAGGTTTGTTGTGTCCTGCAATGCACAGGAGAATAGATATGAATTACCAGGAATCTAGGAGGGCAACTTCTTGCGCACAGTGATTTATTTACTTATTTGCGCAGTGGATTTCCATCAGTCCACAAAACTAAAAGATATATCCCCAGCATTTCAGGGGCCAGTGGAAACAATAGCGGCCATAAAAATCTTCGGTGACTTCCCCTTGCTCGCTCGCTCATTCAACCCTTTCTTTTGGAAGAAGTTGCCCCCCACGTAAGCAGAAGCGAGAGAAGGGAAATTCACAAGAGAAAGCGGCAAGTGACAGCTTACGCGAAAGAACTGAAAATGAGCAGAAGGGGAGATAAAAGGGACGGCGAGAGAATGAGATTGCACAATGACATATTCTCCTATAAAACCACCTAATTCTCCTATTTGGTATTCATCACTGTCAGGAGCCATTGTGGGGCCTGAATGAGGGCTTTATATTTAGCCTCATTATCAGCTCAATGATAGAGGGCAGACCATGCAAATGAAGTTCAGGACCATAGATATGTTGTTAAAATGCTGCAATTTGTCAGCATTTAGATAAACAAATGAGGGGCAAGCTGTGTCTGTGAAATGACCCATGGAGTACTTGTGGAATATTTTCTTTCCACTTGTTCACCAAAATATCTTCAGGGCTTCCGGCTTATTAGGGATGTTTTTGTTCGGGCAAGTAAAACAACAACAGGAACACCTTTCTCCTTAAAAGAAAAACACCAAACTCCTAAACTTGCATTTTAAATTATGTTCGTGGGTGGGATCCAGAGCACCACTGGTGGTGTATTGCCTGTGCATTTGAATTTTTCAATTATCCCTTCCGGTGGCAACCCCCTAAAGCTTCCCAGATCCTATACATAGTTGGAGCCATTTAGAACTTCATCCCACAAGATGTGAGAGTCTATCACAGGAAATGAATAATGCCCCTCCTGCTTTCCACTTGTGTGTGGAAGAATCTGGGTGCCACCTCCCTCAAACAAGATGGCGGCAGCTCTCACTTTCTCTCTCCATTATTTTGTTATAATTGAGCTTCATATGAGAAGTTCTTCTCTCCAGGTTCTTATGGGGTTCCTCCCTCCAATACTTATCCCATATTCCAGACCTTTGTAGGTTCTGAGAAGACCTTTTTAGGTTCTAATAAGAAGTCTGATTTCAGAATCTTGATTCTTGGTCGAGCAAATTTCATAGCACCATAAGGACTGTATTCCTTTTTCTGCCTCCCAATACCTCCATGTTGTTGTGGTGGTGCTGGTTGTCATCTCCTTCTCAAAGCTATTTTTCCAGTAATTTTTGTTTTATGGCTTACATTCACCTGATCTCTTTAACATACTCTCCAACTGTATTGTCTAACTGACACATTATGTATTTATTCCATTACTTGTGCTATTTGTATGAATTGGTATATATCTTCTGCATTCACCAGTAGAAAAACGTCTTAGCTAAGTCCTACTGAAATTAATGGGCTATGGCTTAGCATCTCAGTGATCTTCCATCCAGATTTCCAAACAGTTCTATACTGACTTAAGCACCAGTAATTCTGCAGTGTTTGGTGTGTCAGGCCACTGACTGTATCCTACTTGTAAGCAAGGTTTCCTCAATTGTGCAAAAAATACTTTAAAATAATATTACCAATAACAGCAATAATATGTTTTATATGTACGGATTTGACTGGTACTATTTTGATATTAGATCTAAACATGTGCTAATCTGAAATTCAGACAACGGTAGCACTGGGGAGCTAGATTTGGAAAATGTAAAAAAGAGGAGGGGGGCAGAGCAAATTGCCCTTTAGGTGTTAGAGAAAAATGGATTTTGAAGTTATAGATTCCTAAACTTGTCTTGGGAACTGCCCCAGGCCACCGGACCCCCCAGAAGTGACAAGCTCACGATGTCTGTCTATCTTTCCATAAGGATCTATTGTTTTGTTACAAGGAAAAATAAATGTACCTATCTTTATCTGGCAAATTTTGGAAGGTCTGCTATTAACGTCTCCAGCTCCTTTGCCTCACGCACAGCTGAAGTGACTTGAACATGCTTAAAGACATGAACAAAGACCATTGAGTCAATTCTCTAGTTTCTTAAAGGGCTTTTAATGATGCCTTGAAAACCCGAACACCTTAGAAATCTAACTGAATGAATTGTAACACTCTCTGAAAAGCAAGATTAGGCTACAATAGGGTCTCAGTCAACTCTAGAAGCAGGCCTGCCTGAAAGCAGGCCTTCCTAGGATTATAAACAGCTGTTGAGCTACCTAATTCTTTCACAGCTTCCCCCTGCGTAGCTGGAAACTATGGCGGCATGGGATGGCCATCCATCTCAATCATTTTGTACAAAGCAGAGTCACTAAAGTCTCATTTGCAAGCCCTTTCTGTTTCTTGGCCAGCGTGCAGTCTTTTCTGCTCATTTGAGGAGAATTATGTGGGCTTAATTAAGTGTAGTAACTTATTGGTAGCACAGCACCCGATCAAAGAGAGGTGCAGATGCGGGTGTCAAATGATGGGGCATCGCTGCTGTGAGGGAGACAAACCCGGGTGAGAAAACTATTCTGCGTCACCCAAAAGGAGTTATTTGGGACTCAATTATCCCATTCATTGTGACTGTGGAGCACCAGATGGTTACAATGCAAAAGAGCTTTCCATGACCATAACATTACTCCGAACACTTTTTCTTCTTCTCCAGTTCACCATACAACAATTAGTTCCTTATTGGGTGTTTTGTTGAAATGAAGAAGCGGGGGCAAGGGAGGGGTAGGTTTGGGCTTCATGAACAGATTTAGTGCATCTAGGGACAAAAAAAAGGAAGGCAGGGCGACGAATCAAAAGAAGAGATTGCAGCATGCCTCTGTTGTTCCGAAGGGGCCTTGGAGTAAGTGGCCTCACAGCTTATCTGGAATCAGACCCCCTCCACAATGTGGGAGATGTAAAGTGTTTCTAATCTGACCGGCTGCTGTGCCGTCTGCCAAGACGTTTCCACCCAGCTGAGCAAGGTTCCTTCCCCCTATTTAATTCATTGAGTTGTCCTCAATAAAAATTAATTCCTTCTCATCAGCAGCATTCAAGCACACAGTGGGAACAAAACCAAATGAGCTCGTGAATATAGTGCTGGTCATTAAGCGGAGGCACCCAACTCCATCATGTTTTTTTGTTCTTCTTGTCCCCCTTGGGACTTGCGAAGACCTCACCATCCAATGAAAAGGGAAAATGCTCATTGATATCCACAAGAAGGGCAGAGTTTCAACGGGGAAAAATGAGCAGCAGGTTTTTTTAAATAAAAAAAAATATGAATGGGAGTAAATCCTTCTATACAGATCCTGCCCACAAAGTACAAGCTGTGAACTCCTGCCATGCTTGTGACCTGGGGCCTCCGGCTTATCCCATCCTGTCCGAAGCGTTCTGTGAAGCTTAAGACTAGTTTGTGCCCATCCGCCAAAGTTATCCCCATTTGGAGTATATTCTAAACATTTTGTTACTTCAGCCTCTGGTGTATTCCCAATTGGTGTTTGCACTTATGCATTTCTTTTGGAAGCCAGAAACAATCTGTTTGCTTTAAGATTCCCACATTGTGCCCATATGGCACCCCATTTTCACATTTGTATCATCCTTCCCTCACCTCTCTTCTCTTCTCTTCTCTTCTCTTCTCTTCTCTTCTCTTCTCTTCTTTTTATACCATATTCAGCTGAACTGATGAGAAATGCCCATGATATGAGAATCAGGACAACTACTTTATCAATTCTGTCCTGTGTTGTGCTGTCTTCTCAAAGCCAAAGGTGAAGTTATATGCTATCACTTTATAACTGATCAGTTCATCTCGTGACTCCTACGATGCAATGGCCAGCTATATTAATAGCCCTAAAGTTAGAAATGGAAGCATTTCTAATTCTAGTTTCACTGGGTCCAAAACCAAAGCCAGAATGGAAATACAGTGGTACCTCGGGTTACATACATTTCAGGTTACATATGTTTCAGGTTACAGACTCCGCTAACCCAGAAATAGTACCTCAGGTTAAGAACTTTGCTTCAGGATGAGAACAGAAATTATGCTCTGACGGCGTGGTGGCAGCAGGAGGCCCAATTAGCCAAAGTGGTGCTTCAGGTTAAGAACAGTTTCAGATTAAGAATGGACCTCCGGAACGAATTAAGTACTTAACCTGAGGTACCACTGTATGGGGAACCGCCCCACCTGGAGCATAGATTCTCTGCAGCTTTTGAAAACAGTCCTTTTAACTTGTTTCACAAAGCCTTCCTTTAAGAGAATGGGATTTTTAGAATAGGAAAAAATATGGTTGAAAGAATGATGGCTACCACTGACCAAAGCAATAGTTGAGTTATAGATTATACTCATCTGACATACCCAGTTCTGCCTAGCTTGGATTTCCCCTGATTCAGAGTGTTTTTAAAATATCATTACGATTCTCAAGTCATTGGGCAGCTGGGGGCTTCTCCCTTTGACTACTATAACCATGAGCAAGGCATGGTGCTTACAGAGGTAAGGAGAAGTAATTCTTATTTCATTTTAAAAAGCTATTCATTAAAAGTAGATGAGGCTTTGAACTTAAAAAGAAGCAAATACGATAAAGTGAAGGAAAAGGAACCCTGATCTCTGTCAACTTTTATGTTTGATGTTGACTAGAACAAATAACAATGGAATAATAGAATTGTAGAGTCATGTAGTCCAAACCCCTGCAACAAAGAAATCTTTGCCCAACGTGGGGTTCAAACCCACGACCCTGACATTAAGAGCCTCATACTGTACCGGCTGAGCTATCCCAGAACACGAGCTCATATGCACTAAAATTCAGGCACTAAATTTCTGCTGGCTACCAAGAAATCGCTGATGGTTCATTCATTTCTTTGAAACTCCACCTGGAAATTTGCTGACCACTCTTGCAACGAAGGCTGGCTGAAAGCCAAACCATACCTGTTGTTATGGTGAAAATTGTTTGTTGAACATACTGATGGTATAGATAATAATATATTTATGACTTTCCCATTCAAAACAACAGTACAGCTCTGATGGCGTCTGCTTGAAACCTGATTGTGTGGTTCCAAAGGCTGGCAGCCACATCCTATATTGGGGTTAGCCAAATAAAACTATATTTTGGTTTAAGTGCAGCTAGCTTTGAGGAAATGATGGTTAGGCTATTTGGGCCAGAGTTTATGTTGACTTTAAAACTGCAGCAGCCATGAGACAGAGCTCCTACCCCCAGCTTCAAAACAAAACAAAACAAAAGCTTTTCCAAGCAACATCTGCAGTAAGTTTTCAAGAAGTTAAGAAATGCAGAACACAATTCTGATTGTGACACTTGGGCTCTTATTGATCTCTCTGGGGCATTTAGCTCTCAAGTTCCTACTGCTTCTGCTATTTCTGTTACTTAACATTGATATTAAATACTCCTGCAGCCACTAACATCTTTTGCTAGTTACAACATGTTGAGCTGCCTAACACCAAGTAAGAACTTTGGCCCATAGGGATGGGTGAATATGTCAATTTTTGTTTATCTCTGTTTCTCATTTCTCCACTCTTAAGTTCAGTTCTTCAAATTTCCATATAAGTTTGTGATATATCTATACAGCTATATCTATCCTCATGAAAATTCATTTTACTGCAAATTTCTCCTAATTTTTTGTATGCCTAACATTCACATTTTTGCAAAAGCAATTGCAAAGCCATTTCCCTTAACACAAATGCATGCTTTTCTAATATAAGCTTTTCTTTATTGATTTTATCCTACTATATGTAATCTGCTACACATTATTTGGCTGGAAAACTTCATTGCAAAATTCAGAGAAATACAATTTTTTAAAGGTTAGCTGTGCATCTGTTCAATCAATCTGTTTCTTACGATCATAGACCAGCATCTGTTTTCGTCTTCTTTTGGAAAGTATAAGTTAGATAAGTTTGCCTTTAAATGCAAATCAATTCAAATTTCTCCTCCATTCCGATTGCTCCATCAGCTTGAGCATCATTTTCTCAAGGAGGAAGTAGCTCTCCAATACTTCAGTGACGGAGATGTCAGCATATGGTTGTGAAGCAGTGTTGTACCACTGAGCTACAGGTCCACAGGAACAGATTGGGATCTACTGGCTCTCAACAACAAAATAACTCCCTTTGCCAGTAGCAGAAATGAAGAAAGTTGTGTGGGTTACCAGGAGCAGATTACTGAGTTGAAAGATTGCGAGTTCCATTCAGTTCTGGTGTACACATAAAATAAAGATTTCCGGTGTCAGAATTCTTAATTCCTTTCTGTATTTTTTCTGCATCTCGCTCCAGTTCATGGTTCTTGGAGTTCTATCAAAAACCAAAGTAGATCTGGAAGTCTTCCCTCTTGGACAACACAATCACTCCCTTAAGCCACTCACTTAGTCCTTCACTCCCTGTCCCTTCTTAGTTAGAGAACATATTTGGAACTGAGTAGTAATGTCAGCAGTTCTCTATAAAGTAGCAGTGCATTGTAAAGTACATCATAGGGGAGTTCAATTGCTCATAACTCACTCACCCCCCCCAAAAAAAATCTTGTAGCCATTTTTTAACTGTGGTTATTCTTTTTTTGGGAAGGGTTTTGTTATTGTTGCCAGATTTAGAGAATGGGATAGAAGTGATTTTAAGAAGGAACCTTTGGGAGGAATGCAAGTCACACACTTTGCTCCAAATTTTCTCACTTTGCTTCTTTGTAGGGATTTGGTGGCAAGTCTGATTCGGCACATAGCTCCTTTTTGTCCTAAGAAGAAGAATGTAGGACAGAAAGGTCAGATGACAGTGAGTAGTGGGAAAGAAGACGTCAATAATACCTACACATGTGCACACATGCATACCACAAATGTTTGCATCAAAGAAATTTAAATTCCATGCCAAGAAAAGCTGCACATGGTGGCCTCTCTCAGTTACGCAGATCAAAGGCATTGACTTATATCTGTTCTCTAGGTATAATATATTCTGTTTTCTATGCATAATATGCCTGTTGTCTTTGTCCATGGAGTTTTCTTGGCAGGAATAATGGAGTGGCTTGATGGTTCCTGCCCCAGGTGGATCACGTTTGGTCAAAACTCTCCACTATGACCTGTCCATCTTGGGTGGCCCTGCACGGCATAGCTCATAGCTTCTCTGAGTTATTCAAGCCCCTTTGCCATGGCAAGGCAGTGATCCATGGAGGGGATCACCTTGCCAACAAAGGTCCATATAGTTAAAGCTATGGTTTTCCCAGTAGTGATGTATGGAAGTGAGAGCTGGACCATAAAGAAGGCTGATCGCCGAAGAATTGATGCTTTTAAATTATGGTGCTGGAGGAGACTCTTGAGAGTCCCATGGACTGCAAGAAGATCAAACCTATCCATTCTTAAGGAAATCAGCCCTGAGTGCTCACTGGAAGGACAGATCGTGAAGCTGAGGCTCCAATACTTTGGCCACCTCATGAGAAGAGAAGACTCCCTGGAAAAGACCCTGATGTTGGGAAAGATGGAGGGCACAAGGAGAAGGGGACGACAGAGGACGAGATGGTTGTACAGTGTTCTCAAAGCTACCAGCAGGAGTTTGACCAAACTGCGGGAGGCAGTGGAAGACAGGAGTGCCTGGCGTGCTCTGGTCCATGGGGTCACGAAGAGTCAAACACGACTAAACGACTAAACAACAACATGCATAATATATTCCGTAGTCGGATTCTGTAGATGCTGCATACAAGCTACCCAAAAAATGGCGTGCTGCAGATGTTTTGGATTAAAACTCCCATCATTAGTCATCACTGGCCATGCTGCCTGGGACTCATGAGGTTTAGACTCTAAAATGTTTGGAAGGCACCATGTTGGGGAAAGCTGCTGTATATTGTGCATAAAAAGGTAAAGGTAAAGGGACCGCTGACCAATAGGTCCAGTCGTGGCCGACTCTGGGGTTGCGGCGCTCATCTCGCTTTATTGGCCGAGGGAGCCAGCTTAGAGCTTCTGGGTCATGTGGCCAGCATGACTAAGCCGCTTCTGGCGAACCAGAGCAGCACATGGAAACACCATTTACCTTCCCACTTTGACGTGCTTTCGAACTGCTAGGTTGGCAGGAGCAGGAGCAACGGGAGCTCACCCCGTCGCAGGGATTCGAACCGCCAACCTTCTGATCAGCAAGTCCTAGGCCCTGCGGTTTAACCCACAGCGCCACCCGTGTCCATAATCGCTATAATCGCAAAGCTACAATGTGAAAGGGCTGTGGCTCAGTAGTAGGCCCCTAGTTGAATCCCTGTCATCTTCAGGTAGGACTGGGAAAGACAGCCTCTCTGAAATTTCAGAAATGCACTGTCAATTGCTGTAGGTGATGCTGTAGGTGGAATGATCTGATTCAGCGTGATTCAGCTTCCTTTGTAGGGCTGTAAGAGAGATGGCTTCCCCCACTTCACAATTGTTGCTGAGAGATGAGCTAAGGAGCAGGGCTGTGCCTACAGTAGCTACAGGCTTTGCACCAACTTTGCTGAAGGCATATCCCAAGGGAACATGCAAATGGTTTCTTTTTGAAGGACACTTTTGCTCTCCATTTAACAAGCACAACAATTTTGATAGGCTTCTTTTGCCTTTTGCAGTTTAATTCATTGATGAGAATGCCTACCATGGTTCCCTGATCATTATGTTTTGGCTTCACTAGCGACGGAGAAGGGTGCAGCTCTGGGTTTCTTCTGTTTGGGAGAAAGAGGGAGATCATGAAAGCTAATGAAATATCAATTTAATATATCTTCATTCCCTACTAGAGATGTTATTTTGAAGGTGTTTATGTTTCACCACAACTCAAAACCCAAAAAGTGCCTTCTTCCTTGTCCGGAAATACATTTTAAGTCCATTGCTTGAATTACAGGGCACTTAGCACTTCCCAAGGCAGGAGCAACACCAATTAAAATCCAGTTACCATTTTACGCTCAACATCTGCGATTAATGCATGAATTTAATTGAACCAATTCATTTCTAAATGTGTTTTTTTTCCTTTGGGGGAGGGGGATTTCTGCCTTATTATTTTCAAATCCTCTGCATTTCCTGGAACACCGAGGAAGTCGGGGCGGGGGGAGAATCACACACAAAGACACACAAACTTTCCTGATGTACAATTATTTTTGACGTGGCTTGTAAACTTGGCTGTTGGAGGGGAAGGCCTTGTTATTCTGCTTGCCCCTGAAGGTTTCCCTTGCTCCCTAAGGCCCCCTTTGGGGACCAGTTTCTGCTCCCAATCACTGTCTCTTGTTTGCCCTGACCTGTTGACAACAACGCTTGATTTTATTTTATTTTTTAAATTTACCCCGTTAAAGCTGGGGAAATGCATTTCCTGATACACTGCAGATGCTGGGCTTTAGCTGGGCTTTCACAGGGAATTCAGACTGTTTAAATAGGTTTAACCTTGTACTGAATTTCAAGGCCCACAAGGCTTGCTTCTCCCACCTCGACCCCCCAAAAACAAATTAATGAGAGAAAGCCCTTCCACCGCCGTTCACAGGGCACATGAAAAGAAACCTAACACTGCTCCTCTCCAGCACACACACATTCTCAATGCTAATTAAGCAATAACGATCAAGGCACCAAGTGTTTCCTGAGGATTAATAACTAACTGGGAGGAGATGATGACCCCCAGACTGTCATTAATCCCAGGAAAAGCCCTGTGTGAAGGTTGTTATTGCTAAGTAACCTCTAGTATGAGAGAAAAGCAGACTAAATGTGCAATTGGCTGATTATATAGAACACTACTCAGAAGTGGGGAAATCCAAAGTCTGTATGAATTGTACACCTTCTTCCCTCCTATGGATTTGACATGAGCTCACCCACAAGAGATATTTGAGGCCCTAAGATCACCTTGTGGAAACGCCAGGAAAGGAAATGTAATGAAATCTTGCCAGCAATGCATTGGATCTGTTGAGAACTAGGATGCCTATTATTTTAAGAGGACTCAAACATTGAAACCTGATGACACTGACTCTAGTCCGTGAATGCTTACGTCATAGTCTACTGTTCTACTTTATTTCAATGAAAGTGACAGTCAATGAAGTATTAAGGATCAGGAAGAAATTACTACCAAAAAGGGGGGGACGTGGTGGTTTCTGGACAGGTGGAATTATCAAAAGGGACTTGGAGGGAAGTTAAGACAGTTTCAGTATGTTTGACCACATTTCTTAAGGTAGCTTTGCAGTGTATCTGTAGATCAGAGTTGTTAGGCTATAATCTTGTTCTGGATTTGAAGTGGGGGTTGACTTTGTAGGGACTTCTCTGTACAGATGTTTGTGTGATGACAGAGAGAGAGAGAGGAGAGATGGGTTAATCTGCCAATTTTGGTTACTTTTAGGTTCTCATTTTTCCAGTTTTAAGTTCATTTCTCCAAATTTGCACATCAATTTGCATTTTTCAAAGTTCTTGAAAAATTGGCATTTTAGTGTAAATTGATTGATTGATTTCTATACTGCTGAATATGTTTTTTAAAATATCTCTAGGAGATGTACAAAAAACTGAAGCAGCAACAAACTATTGCAAAAATACAGAGTTACATATACAGTGGTATCTCGGGTTAAGTACTTAATTCGTTCCGGAGGTCCGTTCTTAACCTGAAACTGTACTTAACCTGAAGCACCACTTTAACTAATGGGGCCTCCTGCTGCTGCCGCACCGCCGGAGCACGATTTCTGTTCTCATCCTGAAGCAAAGTTCTTAACCTGAAGCACTATTTCTGGGTTAGTTGAGTCTAACCTGAAGCGTATGTAACCTGAAGCGTATGTAACCCGAGGTACCACTGTAAAAATGTTACATTAATTCAAAGTTGCTAATATATATAAATCAATGTCAGTTTATTTTCCTTCTAACACACCCTCCCTCACAGCTTCTGGGTTCTCACCCAGTGTCCAAAGAAATTCACAGCTCACACAGAAAAGCCTTGTAATGAGAAGAACTCCTAGAAACAGCAGACATCACTCTAGTCTCCCACTCTAGACTTGCTTTACCCTAATGTACACGTTTGTTTGCTGTTTTCCCTAATACGCATATTTATTTGCAAAGCAATTTTGCCCAGGATTGTACATTTGTTCTTTTCACTAATATGCGTACTTCACCCTAGTATATGTATTTTTGTACACATTACTTGGCGGGGAAACTGCCTTGCAAAATTCAGGAAAGTGCAACTTTAGATGGATTGCTGTGTTTCAGTTCATAATTGTTTCAGAACGTGTGAATTAAGTAGGTTCACCTACTTAATGCAAATTGAATCAAACTTTCCCCCTCATCCCTAGCTGAGAGAGACGCGTACAAACTTGGTTTGCCTTGGTTACAGAACTGCCAACGTTGTTTGAAATTACTTGGTATCTTGTGTCTTGGAATACAGTCAAACCTCGGTTTTCAAAAGTCTTGGCTGCTGAACGTTTTGGAAGTCGAATGCTGAAAACCCGGAAGTGAATGCTTCCGATTTTGAACATGCCTCAGAAGTTGAACAGCTTCCGAGGCACGTTTTTCACTCCTCCTCCCCCATTAAACTTGCTGACAGCCTTTTGATCCTCGGTTTTTGAATGTTTTGGAAGTCAAACAGACTTCCAGAACGGATTACATTCAAAAACCGAGGTTCCACTGTACATGACAAATATTCTCTCTGTTATGCAACCATGGTTATACTTGTGGCTATCCTGCTAACATCCCCCTGGCACCACCGCTGCCACAACTGCTGAGAATACAGCGCAGCAGAAAAGAACTGCTCCCCCCCACATCTACACATCTGCGCATGCAATACTTTTCTTCTAGGATAAAGTGAGTATTGTCTTTGCATGCGGAAGAAACAAAAGTGGGATGGTTGGTTTAGCAAAATGTAATGATCGTTCAGAATCAATCCCCCACTCCCCACCCACCTCAGCTCCATTCTGCAAGAGCACCTCCTTGGTCTAAAGTTTCGTGCTGGCCTATTTCTTATTAGCAATGCTAAGCTGGCATCAAGGGGCTATCATCTGTCGAAACATCAGCAGGCGGAACAATTGACAAAGCAACCACTTGAGAATGTTGAGTAAACTGGGTAAAATGAAGTGAAAGAGGTTAATGTGCAACCTGGCACACAGTGCCAACCCAAGCCGTGAGAACCACTTATGTGATAATTGGTCCCTCACAATATCTTCTGCTCTGTAAAACATTGTCTTGGGCTTGTCTTTCAGCACAGGAACTGATCTCTTTGAGACACGCTGAAATGAAAACCAGCTACCCCAAGCTCCCGCCCTCTCCCAGGTAGGAATTCAGGTGGGAAAACCTGCGCCTTTTGAGCATCTACAAGCTGTTTCGGGTAATTTCAGGTTAGTGCAGCATCAATGTGTGTGATAAAGAAGCATATACATGAATGAGAAACCATTCCGGATTTAGGTCAGAAACAAACGTTGCACTTTTGGTGCCTTTTAGACCTTCTCATTCAAAGGGCAAAAATAAATTTTATGATAGATGCAACCCAACTTATTCTTCTGTGCATACACACACACACACACACACACACAGAGAGAGAGAGAGAGAGGTATTACAGTTAGAAAAGCATTTTACAAAACTGACTAATGAATCAAGGATTTACAAACTGCTTCCCAAGAAATGCTTCTGAAGCAACGCCCAACAAAAATAGCAAAAGAACAACATATATAGTAAAACACACACACACACATACTACATTGCAGTATAAAAACCATATCTTAAAGCATCAATCTAAAAGATTCCAGATCATAGATATAAAAATGGTGAGCGGAATTCAGGTATATGTTTATTTATGGATCATCCCTATTATAATTCTGCTTTCAAAAATAAATAGAGGACGTTGTTCTACAATACCTGTTTTCGTTATGCTATGTTCCTTGAACCTTTGTCTTAATTTGGAGAATTGTTGTACTCTGCCAATCCATTAATTTACATGTAGGTATTTATAAATTTCTCCTTTTTTGTTATTTTAAGTTTGGCAGCAGTTAGACGGTTTGATATGAAGGAGCCATGCACTTTTGGTCAAAAAAGTACTGTTGCATTGGTATGTACTGGTATACCTTGATTATTCTAAGCACCACCTTCTTAACCTGGCTCATGTCTGCATGGCAAGACATGCCCACCACATAGGTAAGCAATTTGTTTTATTTTCACTTTGTAGATCTTGTTCACTGTGTTTGGTCTGAGATGCCAACAGTATAATATCTTGCAATAGTTTCCCCTTAAATTTAAACCATACACTTCATTGCTTCACCTGAGAAATCTGCATCACATTCTTATTTTGTAATTATTGATCCTTGCATCACTTCCACCTTATTTGAATTCAAAGTCTGGCCACCCTTAATGTGTTAAAAGCAGCTATGCGTGAGCCAAGAATTTACCACCGTCAGAATACCAACCAGATAAATTGGAGGAGAGGAGGAACATTCTTTTCCAGTCTGGATAAAACTTTCAGCTGAAGAAGAATGCACGGGTCATAATGCCCACCTCACATTTGAGGTGTGCATTGCAAGTGCTTAATTCCTAAGGGTCTTATTTCCAAAACCAGAAGCACAAACCTCAGCACATCACTATTCGAAAAGCACATTATCCATGACATTCATAGACTAGTCTTTTAGTGACTCAATTCCCCCCCCGAAACTAACTTGTAAGTATGTGTAGCTGAACTTCAACACATATACTTTCTGTGTTACCCTTGCCTCTGTATTTCACCCACCCCTCTATTGCTGTCTCTTAGTTTAATTTTAGTGTCCCACTCAATACACGCAGATAGAAGCTCTTACTTGGAAATAGGAAAGAGATATTTATTTAGGCAAGTAACAGTACATGTTCCGTAGCAGACACAGTGCTCAGGACTCATGATTCATGAGTCAAGGAGCAAGGCAAGAAGTTCAGAACTGGAAGGAGGCAACAAAGATATCCCAACAAGTTCCTCCAACCTTCCCACTCTCTTGCCTTGCAGGAATATCAAGATTGCAAGCACGCACTCAGTCGAGGCAGGTGGGTTTGCTCCCACTGACAGATCTAGGTAACAAGACTGCACCCTCCTGTTGATTTGCTGCCACCTCCTCTTCAGCCTCCCCACTGGCTGATCAAAGACCTCCCAAGAGGCTCTCCACTCTGCAGGAGTGTTGTGGGAGGAGAGAGCCAGCATCCCTGCTCACCCTTCTAAACTGACTAGGGATGGAATGAGGAGATACCTCCCAACCAAGGTTCCCACAATTCAGTCCACTATCGACTTCCTCCTCCTCCCCCCATCCGAGCCTGCCAGCTCAAGCCCAGTCACAACAGTGCCGCTGGGCTCATGACATTTAGATTGTAAATTCTGCCTCAGGGCAGGGGTTGGTTTATGAACGATAGCACAGAGAGGCCATGTGCTTGGACTACACCACCAATCAGGCCCTGTCAGCATAGCCCATAGTCAGGGATGATGGTAAAGGTAAAGGGTAAAGGGACCCCTGGCCATTAGGTCCAGTCGTGATCGACTCTGGGGTTGCGGCGCTCATCTTGCTTTATTGGCCGAGGAGCCAGTGTACAGCTTCCGGGTCATGTGGCCAGCATGACTATGCCACTTCTGGTGAACCAGAGCAGCGCATGGAAACGCCGTTTACCTTCCTGCCGGAGTGGTACCTATTTATCGACTTGCACTTTGACATGCTTTCAAACTGCTAGGTTGGCAGGAGCAGGGACCGGGCAACGGGAGCTCACCCCGTTGCGGGGATTCGAACCGCCGACCTTCTGATCGGCAAGTCCTAGGCTCAGTGGTTTAACCCACAGCGCCACCGCATCCCTAGGGATGATGGTAGTTGTAGGCTAACAACATCTGGGAGGCACCACATGAGCTGCCCCTGATTGGTTAGATGTAAATGCCTTGTGACAGTCTTCTATTCTACCCTAATTGTGAAATTGGGCTGCACAGCCGCCCCCTACAAATGCAGATCACTTGGAGTCTGGGAATTGACCTCAGACGCTGTTGGAATAGGGGATATTTTTCTCAAGTGAGAGGCTCTGGTTTGCCGATACTGGAAAGTATGAAGAACATGTATGCTTTGGCACACCTGCAGACCCTCAAGAACCAAGAAACAGACTTCAAATTTATTTTTGATGATTCACATTGCTGCTACTTGTCCTTAAAAGTGTGAGAACTAACCGTTGCTCGAGTCATTACCATTTCCTTTGCAATTGGAAATTTCCTACTGTATATGTCGTCGTATTTCCAAAGGCTTAAGACTCACTCCTCAAAGCTGCTGCCAAAACTGTGTGATTGCACGATGGGATTTTGCTTTAGCTGTAGCTAATGACTACACTCCCTGACCCTTGTAAATGGAACTTGATCTTGTCACATCAGATTTAGGAAAGCATCATAAACGAGCTGTGGCAGATTCTTCCTTGATTGTGGGAAGACTAGGAAGGATGGGTTCTGAACCAGGAAATGGTAGGAAGGGTTCCGAGCCAGGAAGAGATTCAGTGAGGTTTCCCAAAGTCCGCCAAGAGCATTAAAAATATTATATTCAAATGAAACTCTAGCCTCTGGCCTATTTTGTTCTCACTGAGAACGGCTGAGTTGGGGATTTCCAAAATGGCACAACTCCAGTTCGGTCTCTCTGAGATAGGGAAAATAAAGACAGTCGTAAGAACTGTACTGTGGCAGCAAAGGGGTCAGGAAAAGAGCAGCGGGGGGCAGAGAAGGGGCAGGGATGACAGAGCAAGGGCAGTTTGCTGAATGGCACAGAAATGGTGGGTTGGCATCAACACCGTGGGAGCTGGACAGTGCAATCCTACACATCAGCTCAAAAGTAAGGCCCACTGAGTGCATTGTTGCTTACTCCCAGGTGAGTGGTTTCTTTACACCAGGATTGAGGAACCCTTTTCAGTCCAGGGATCACATGTCAGTGGTGGGTGGGGCCAGTGGCAAAAATGGTTTTAATAAGGCATTTGAAACTCAGCAGCGATAGTGCCTGTCTGACTTATTGTAGGAGATCTTTCACAGACCTGGGTCCACAACACTGAAGCATGACTTCTCATTGACCTGAGGTGTGCTTCCAGTCCATGGGAGACAACTAACAGTGCTCCTCTGGGTGATCTCAGTGATCAGTTTTGGATGTACAAGTGGTACTTAGGATATCCACCCCCATTGTTCTACCCGGACACTGAGGTCCAGTGCCGAGGGCCTTCTGGTGGTTCCCTGGCTGTGAGAAGCCAAGTTACAGGGAACCAGGCAGAAGGCCTTCTCGGTAGTGGTGCCCGCCCTGTGGAACGCCCTCCCACCAGATGTCAAAGAGAACGACAACTACCAAACTTTTAGAAGACATCTGAAGGAAGGCTTTTAATGTTTGATGTATTGCTGTATTTTAATATTTGCTTGGAAGCCGCCCAGAGTGGCTGGGGAAGCCCAGCCAGATGGGCGGGGTATAAATAATAATAATAATAATAATAATAATAATAATAATAATCCTGGGCTAAATAATGAAGAACACAAGGAAATGGGCATCTGCAGGGATTTTCCCGAGGCTGAGAGTGAATATTCCAAATCAACAACCATAACTAGCATCAGATAACAGATCTGGCAACTGGAAAGCAGCAAGGCCTGGATAGACCTGGCCTCTGAGAAAGTTGTGTTTCACGTCTACCCTTTTGTTTTTTTCTCAATTGATAGGTCTGCTAGCCAACTAAAGGTAGCCTTGACGTTCAGATTATGTTTTCCCACCCATACCTGAAACCTTCAATTGCTTCCCTAGCTCCCTTCACCTCCTGCAGATCTTGTACCAGGAATATACTTCAGGGTTGTCACACAGGCAACCACCACCCCTGGCCAGCCCCCAGAGGCACTATTCACATGGTGAGCTTGTAGCCAGGGTTGCTGCAACAAACAGCCACACAGGCCTTTGGGAGGCAGAGACGCAAGAGGGCATCAGAGGAGCGATGGAAGGAAAGAGGGACAGAGGCTACTGTGCTGGTCCCGTTGGTTACCTGAGAGGCGAGGTCGAAGTCCAGTCCGTGGTCAAAGGTGCAACGTGGAGGCAGTCCGTAGTAGCTGAAGCTGGGTGCAGGGCAGGGAGTCGGGTGAAGTCAGGAACAGTCAAGCAAGCAGGGAGCCAGGGCGGGTCAGGAGCTCAGGCAGGAAAGCTGGAGAGGGTTCAAGCAGGAACTAACAACCAACAATGTTGCTCCCGCAACTTGGGACTGGGGCTGGCCAACTTTTATCTGTCCCGAGGCATAGGGCAGCCCCAATCTTCTGGAGACTCGCCTCTCTTGGCCTGGAGGCGAGCACTCCTTCTGTGGGAACTTACTTCCCTCTGCCTCTCTGCCCTGAGCCTCTGCAGTTCAGGAGAGGCTGGAGGTTTACCAGACCCAGAGGCAACTTCAGCTTCCTCTGACGGGGCTGAGAGTGGAGAACCTGCAGGCAATGGGTCCTCCATTATCTCAGGAGCCAGAGCAGACTCAGCTGATGCCTGTACCTGAGGATCCAGCACAGGTGAGGACCCTTCAGGCTCAAGCCCCAGCCCCGGCTCAGCTGGTTCTGGAGGCGGGGAATCCTGTGCTGGCTGGGATCCCTCAGGTTCAGCATCCAAGTCCGAATCCCAGGCCATCACAGCTACTGCTGCTTGCGGCATGCCTAACCATCATTCAAGCCTCCCCCCCCCCCAGGGTGCCACAGCACACTGGTTGGAAACCACTGATGTGAAAAATAAAATCATACCAAACAGAAATAATTTTGTCCTTACTCCGGACACGGAGCAATGGATCCAAACTACAAGAAAGAAGATTCCACCTAAACATTAGGAAGAACTTCCTGACAGTAAGAGCTGTTCGACAGTGGAATTTGCTGCCAAGGAGTGTGGTGGAGTCTCCTTCTTTGGAGGTCTTTAAGCAGAGGCTTGACAACCATATGTCAGGAGTGCTCTGATGGTGTTTCCTGCTTGGCAGGGGGTTGGACTCGATGACCCTTGTGGTCTCTTCCAACTCTATGATTCTATGATTCTATGATTCTACTTGACTTCTAGAGGCTCTCAGGTTATATGTCACTTTTTTCCTAGTAGGGCTGATTCCTGTACATTTGTGAACCAGTAAGAAATATCTGCTCTAGCTAGATCCTTCCAAAATGGGGCTATTGTGGCTCTGGCTGCAGTAAACATATGGATAATTGAGATCTTACAACATAATCCTTTATCACTCTCTTCAAAGATGTTTAGATGAGCCAGTTGTGGAGTGCATGCTACACTGCAATTTGGACTTGCACTAATCCCCTAAAACACAGAGAGCCAGAACCTTTGTACTTTTCCACAATCCCACCAGAGATGTCTACAAGTACCCACCAGCTGGTATCTTGTGCAACAGCATGGTGATAGTGTAGAATTTATATAGGATAACATCATGGTGCTAATAGCACTTACGTAGCCTTTTAATTGCTGCCTCTTTGTCTGTAGCTGAGATGGACCTAAATGGGGGTTTCTTCCACCTTGTCTGGCATTCCTGTTCCTCCAGTTTCAAACCCAAATTCTTGCTCCCACATTATTTTAGGGCCTTCTGTACCATTCATTTATTTTCTGTTTTGCATGAAAACTGGGAATCGGTGGGTTATGGCCCTTTTTTGGGGTTGGTGAAACACCCTCTCCCAGCAGATGCCCATGTCCAACAAAAATATTTGTTTTGTTGTAATCAAATGTTGCTTTTGAGCCATAGTAAGTGGTTTCAGTCACCCCGTGAAGCCACCCATTCAAGCTTTCCTCATCTGACTTTGCCCAAATAGTGCCAGCTGAAAGAGTGGGTAAGGGCAAGCATTTCTGCTACTGAGCATTTGCCTTTTCTATACAGTGGTACCTCAGGTTAAGTACTTAATTCGTTCCGGAGGTCTGTACTTAACCTGAAGCTGTTCTTAACCTGAAGCACCAGTTTAGCTAATGGGGCTTCCCGCCGCTGCCGTGCTGCCGTGCGATTTCTGTTCTCATCCTGAAGCAAAGTACTTAACCCGAGGTACTATTTCTGGGTTAGCGGAGTCTGTAACCTGAAGCGTATGTAACCTGAGGTACCACTGTACTTGTTTTCACAGTGTGGAAGAAGCACAGCTACTATTTAGGATTCCCCCAAAACCTCAAAACTGCAGTGCTGTCCACAGAGAGCAGGTGCATACCCATAAGACTTGGGAGAAAGAAATATTTTATGTCTTATCTTGGGCCAAACGGTTTAGAAGCAATTGATATCAACGTTGTTGAGAATACTGGCCTGTGAAAAAGGCCAGGCAGGAAGCCTGTGGAAAACCATGAACCGACCTTCTAATTGGCAGTCCTGAAATCTGTTCCTCAATGGACAATTAATATCATTAAGTATCAACATTGTAAAAACTTGAAATAGTTCCATTACAATCACTGATGGGAATGAAGATTCATTTTGCTCAGATAACCTGCCTTCCTTTCTGGGTTTGAAAAGACTGAACTGGTCCTTTATAAACCCCATCTCCAAAATGTAAGGGGCTAATTGTTTTAAATGATCTTTATTGTAGGCATCATCTGGAAAAGATCTTGTGAATTTTGAACACATGCTGTAAGTGAACCTTAGATATATGTGCTTTGGCAGTTCCACAGAACTCCTCCACAGAAAATTAAATTGATTCTTTGCATATGGAAGATCCACATCCCCCTCCCTCTCTCTCTCTCTCCAGTCAAACTGCACCCTATGCCTTTACAGGGAGGTAGTTTTATTGGACAAAGACTATATCCACTTGTTATCAGTGGTTATACTGCTTTGGGTAGCTCTGCTTGTTGGGTAATTTAGGAATTAGCTGCTCTCATGCAACTTATGTATGTCAAATCATTCAAATGCACTCATGTAGGGGGTGATTTATGGGCACAGCAGGCAAGGGCAGTGTTCCCCATTTCCTTGGGGCAACAAGGGAGGCTGCCTACTCCCATAACAGCCTCTTAATTACCCATGTGGATCGGAGAACATGATATTGTGGCAGCATCGGATGTCCAATGCACCCCCTAGTGGCCCCCCAGGTCGAGAACAGTTTCAGGTTAAGAACGGACCTCCAGAACGAATTAAGTTCTTAACCCGAGGTACCACTGTATTCACATGCATGACTTAATGAAGCAATTGCAGACCCAATGTGGGGTATACAGTCTGCAATGCAGGACCTAGCATTAACATGGATTGTCCTAGGAAGATGGTATCTGTCTTTTCTCTCTATGTGCTTATAAGGTGCTGAAGTGCCTCAAAGAGAATATGGGAAGTAGCTTTATAATAGGGATAAATAAACAAACTTCCTCTGTTCCATCCTGCCCCCATTTTTGGGTTCCATCCACCCTGCATTCTGCTTCTCTTCTTCTATGAGTAAGAGAATGTCCAAAATCAAAGCACATGCACTTGATTGCACCTTTCCATTCATTTGTATCTCTCCCTACTCCAGATTGCCAAGGCACATGCTGTGCACATTGATAATACACAGGAAAAGAAAAGGAAAGAAAAAGAGCAATCTTGATGCGATTGGGGGAAAGGCAGCCTTGATTTGATTCCACCAAAACTCTGTGGGGTGTTTTACTGATGCACCTTGTATGCATTGATGAAACACCTCAAAAAGCAACTTTGATGAGATGGTGCACAAGGGTTAAGATTATTTGGTGTCTGGGATTTCATCAATGCACAAAAGTACATATGTGTACTCGTAAAACACAGAGTAAAAAATAATCTTGATTCAATCATATTAACATCTATTCCAGTTACATTTAGTTTCCTTAGAATGTAGGAATAAAAAGATGGATAACATTTTCTGTGATGCAAGGTTTATTTATACATTAACAGGGAGTGTCCAGCAATGCCTGGATATTTTTAGAAACCAAAAATTATTGAGATTTTTGAATGGGTTGTGAGTTTGGACCTGTCATGGCCAAAATAAGGTGAAGTCAATCCAATGTCACATTTTGGTCCACCAGCTTAATTCAAAATGGCACATACAAACATAAATGGAACTTTTGCGCCATGTTTGGTGACAATATCTCAAGAGGCAGCCATACTTATGTAAAAAAAATGGGCAAAGTCACACCAAATTGATATATTGCTCTGTCATCTTGATTCAAAATGGTGTTTGGTGTCCAAATGGTGTCCAAACCTGCCGCCTTGCCCCAGGAACCCTCGTGGCAGCCAGAGACAACTTCCAGCTCAGTTTCAATCCTATAACAATATGTAAAGGTAAAAGGTAGAAGACCCCTGGACAGTTGTCCAGTCAAAGGTGACTATGGGGTTGTGGCGCTCATCTTGCTTTCAGGCCAAGGGAGTCAGCGTTTGTCCACAGACAGCTTTCCAGGTCATGTGGCCAGCATGCCTAAACTGCTTCTGGCACAATGGGACACCGTGACGGAGCCCCCAGAAATGCCATTTACAATATGTATGACCACACCTAGGGTTGCCATACATCCGGAATTTCCCAGATATAGCTGGTATCCAGCTGTTGGAAACAGTGTCTGGGCAGAAATCTCTGCAATGTCCAGGGAAACCCATGTCAGAAGAGTAGTTTTTGGCGAAGCAAAACACAGTTTTGGGCAACACTGAAAAAAGGTCAACATCTTGTGTGTCTGGATTTTAACTTTATGAAATATGGCAACCTACACCAATACTTCTTTTTCCTTTCCCTTTTTTGCAGTGCTTTGTCAGTGTAGACATGCACATTGGAAGACATGCATGAACCAAAGGAATTGAAAACTGCACATGAAACACACTGCATATGAAATAATACTTTATACCTCAAGAAATAGCTGTGCCTTGCTAGTCAACTGTCGCTATTCATAAGATGTAACACTGGCCAGCCATTAGAGATGGATTAACAACCCTTGCTTGCCTCAGAAAACATCTGGGTTTTATGTCTGTTCCTTGTAACAACTTGCAAAGCCTTGAGGAGTTGTGTCGCTGCTTGCAATGATCACAAAATGAAGATAGGAACACCCACCCCACCCCCAACTCCCTCAGAAGCAATACTCCTGTGCCAGTGATCTTGTCTCTGAAGGCGACAAGATCATTATTATTTTTTTACAAGAAAATATTTATTTACTTATTATCATGCATTGGTGCACAGCAAAGGTAGCAGTAAAAACTATGCAGGCAAAGTACTTATATTTACAGTATAAGTGCCTAAAGCTGAAACAAGCAGAGACATGTCTGCATCCAACGCTAATCAAAGGAAGGGAGAAGCAGAAAATACTACATGCTCCTTCCTTTCCAGGAGAGGACAGGAGAGGAAATGACATCACACAGGACCCTCTCTACCAACTGTATTTCTATGGTCTAAGTACCTGCCTGTCCGCGATACAGCTCTGTGGAATTAGTGCCTTCTTGTGCTAACTAGCAAAAATATGCCTTTGTTAGGTTTGGCTGCTAATCTCCCACAGTATGAAGGAGCATTGGACTCTCTTTTCCCGTCCCTGACATTAAAGCATCCTGACTTGCCTCTAATCAGAAGAAGAGATTCAATTGTAAGTCACCTTGTGTCTTCCCAATGAACTTGATTACTCAACCTTGGGAACTGTACTTGTCAGCAGAATCCTCAGATATATATATTTTATTGAAACCCCAGAGCCTTGTTTAGTGCCTGGAGTTGCCTCTTTCCAGTAGACATATATGTGGAAGTTCAGTGGCTTGTATCTTATTATCTGCCTCAGGCAGACTCATTGCCCAGTTCCCAGTCTGGACAGTGGTTTTGTACATCTTCCAGAGTACAACTTTTGTTTCCTTTTGGAATTGCAAGTTTTGCAGAAGTTTGAATCACTTCTTTCCTGGTTCGTTTGGCTGCTGAATCTGTTTTGGGAAATAAGTACTGAAATGGTGCTGAACATATAAGTCTCTTTCAGCGGTGTAGCGTGGGTTGTCAGCACCCGGGGCAAGGCAAGTAATTTGCGCCCCCTAACCCCTAACCTGCCGCCGCTGCCAGCTTCTTCTTGCTGCTGCCTGGTCTGGTCTGGTGTGGTTCTCTCCCCGCGCTCAGCGCTGCGCTGGGCGGCCGCTGCACTGTCCCTCCCCCAGATAGTCCCTCGCTCTCTCTCCGCACCACACGCCTGGCACCCACCCCCTCCACAGTGGGCGGCGACCCAGCGGCTCGGATCGGATTCGCACAGCCAGCACTGCAGTGAGAGAGAGTGAGTGAGCCAGGTAGGGGTAGAGAGCTGCGAGTGCGAGCGCGCCCCCCCAGATGTTGCGCCCGGTGCGGCAGGCCCCCCCTGCACCCCCCACGCTACGCCACTGGTCTCTTTTCCTCTTTGTCAAATAACCTTTGAAATTCTTTAATGTTAAGACAGGAAACCTGTGGTTTTACGGATGCTGTTGTTATTACGATATACATTTAGGACTCACCTTACTTTTGTGATTTTGTGATTTCTTTCATAATGTGCCTTAATGTAACTCACCCGGGGACCTTAGGGTGAAGGGTGAGTAATTTATGTGTTATTACTGTTGTTGTTGCCACTGGTTAGAGATGATGGAAGCTGTACTGCAGCACATCTGGAGAATGGCAGGTTCTCCCTTCTGCTTTAATGGACACATGCAGTACCTTTACTCAGAGAAGTTAGTTCCACTAAGTTGAATGGGACTTACTCCCTAGTACAGGCATAGGCAAACTTGGCCCTCCAGATATTTTGGGACTACAACTCCCATCATCCCTAGCTAACAGGACCAGTGGTCAGGGATGATGGGAATTGTAGTCCCAAAACATCTGGAGGACCGAGTTTGCCTAAGCCTGCCCTAGTATTTTGGTTTAGGTTTGCATTCAATCCCTCACAAATTCTCTTCAATTTCATTTTTTTTAAAAGCATGGTGTGAAGGCACACGATGCAGCAGAAACTAAACACGTCAATAATAATAATAATAATAATAATAATAATAATAATAATAATAATTTATTTATACCCCGCCCATCTGGCTGAGTTTCCCCAGCCACTCTGGGCAGCTCCCAATCAAGTGTTAAAAACAGTACAGCGTTAAATATTAAAAACTTCCCTGAACAGGGCTGCCTTCAGATGTCTTTTAAAGATAGGATAGCTGCTTATTTCCTTCACATCTGAAGGGAGGGTGTTCCATGGGGTGGGCGCCACTACCGAGAAGGCCCTCTGTCTGGTTCCCTGTAACCTTACTTCTCGCAATGAGGGAACTGCCAGAAGGCCCTCGGCGCTGGATCTCAGTGTCTGGGCTGAACGATGGGGGTGGAGACACTCCTTCAGGTATACAGGACCGAGGCCATTTAGGGCTTTAAAGGTCAGCACCAACACTTTGAATTGTGCTCGGAAAGTCTAGAGACTTTCGGTGTCTGCCTCAATGGAAAACTACCTGGAAACACTTCAGCTCTGTGGGAAAAAATGTGGGATATGAATGAAATAATTAAGCACATTTCTATCCAAAACTGAGCATGAAACTACATGACCTGATTCCTTAATAATATACCACTACATCAGATTCAGTCTCTTCCTCTGAATGATTCAGCCCGTGGTAGAAGATTGCATAGGCATCCACCTGGCCAATATCTGCTGTAATCGTTAAAGTGACTAATTATTATGGCATCTCCCTTCCAAGGTCAAAATCAGGATCCTGTCCTGAGAGGTTCTGGATCAATATCTATGAAGACTGTAGCTTAATCTGTTATATTTGGACTAGATGATTAAAGAAAAACACTTCAGCAGCACCCAATTTTGTTGTTCGAAAATATTCCACAAAAACGTTGCTAGCCATTCTGCATGCGCGTACTACTGATTATGGTGCAGTCCTTTCTGCTTGTAATAAAAGTCAGTGCAGCTGTTTCAGGGGCAGCTGTATAAATGCAACTAAATCACAAGAAAAACTATTTATTCATTAAAATATGGCTGGGGGCAAAAGAAGGCTGAAGTTATTAAAGCAGGACTAAAAGCTAGTGCCAATAAAACTCAGAGAAGTTGAAGATTAAGAGCGGATACCTTGAGTATATTAGTGGTATGAACTTCTAATATCGGAACAGAAACCCCAACCCCACAGGCCCCCTTGTTTTGGGTAAGGAAGAGAGAGAAAGGCATTTACAACTTAAAATTCACTAAAAGTATGTTGCTGTGCATGCATGTGACCTTGGCGATTTTAGATTGTCAAGAGGTATATCTTCTGGTTTCAGAAAAGGAAAGTGAAATTGAACCACAGTCGCACAGCGGGGAAGAAATGCTCACTAGACCCCTGGAGTCAATGGCTAAACTCTCGCTCCCTTCAAGGGAACTAGATTGTGCTCATTGCACATTCTTTAGTTGTCGTTGTGGGGCGGGAGGGAGGACGGCCGACAGTGACAACCTTGTGAAAAGCTTCAACCGGCACCCTTTATCAAGTCCCACTCTTTCCACTAGAGGGATTATAGAATTATAGAACTCTTTAGAAAATACATCAGGAGTTGGCCGGGGCAAACTTTTATCAGCGTTCGGCCATTGTTACTTGTATTTGTGTAGCCTTATGGTAGCAAGAGGTCACATTTCCATAAAGATAAATTCCTTATTAGACTCAACTGTGATCTGAGGTCATTGCATATCTGTGCCAGGACAGACTTAAAAGTGATGGCGAATAGGAAGTTTTTTGTGCTGCATTGTCCTGGTTTACTGAGTCTGGAGCCAGACAGCATTTGGACCAATATCAGCATGGACTAAAGCCGGCATATCTTTCTATTTGCTCATCACGCAACAATGAGTAAATAAACACTGTCCGCCATTGCAGACTGAGCTGTCAGTCCAATTAGGCGTGAGAGTGTCCCAGCGCACCCTGTTCCCTATATCTTTACCTACTGCTTCCCCTGCTCAGATGCCTGGGGGGTGATTTCAGGCAGACACAGCTGTATTCAGGCACAGTTACATGGCTGGAAGGGGTCAGGTCTGCTGTGTCAACACTAATCCTTCCTGTCTATTATCAGCCAGTTGGGCATTTGATTCGTGTCAAGTTTCTGTGTCCACTGGAAGCCGAATATCACAGTCGTAAGATAACTTTTTGCCCTGCTTTCCTCCAATCACAGAAAGGCTTCTGTGTTTTCCTTTACTCAGTTGCCCAATCCAGTAAACTGAGGTTGAGGTCAGTGGCTGTTGATATGTGTGTGTTCTTTGACTGTTGCTATTTTTTCCATGCATGCAAATCTTGCAAGACTTAAAACAGCTCTTTTAAGGACAGCCAGCCACAAGCTATGGATTGGATGTCCATAATACAACAGCATTTTGCTTGATGTTTGGCTGTCCAGCTCAGAAGCATACTCACCAGAGTATGTTTAATGTTGTGTGGCACCAGAGACAGAGGTTTCTGTCTCTTGCTAAATAAAAACGATCCTTCCTAAATGAAGATTTTTCACATCCCTATCTGTGCTGCGAAGTATGACTGCCTGCTCAAGATTGCTCTCTATTACGTGATCATCTGAAACCACCACAGCCTTGGGTCTTCAAAGCATACTGAATGCCAGTGTAAAAGCATCTTTCTGTCCATGGAAGATGCCAGGAGTGGCAAGGAGGCAGGTTGTCTTCTGTGCTGTTGTGAGATGAGATTTTTCCATGCCAGGTAGCACTGAGTTTCTTGGGGGTTTATTAGTGTGGTACACAGTCTAGACAGGCAAGGAGAGCTGGCTACTCAGTTGTAAGTTATTGACCTGACAGTAATTATGAGTAAAGTCATACCTTGGTTTTCAAACAGCTTAGTTCTCGAACGCTTTGGCTCTCGAACGCCACAAACCCGGAAGTGACTGTTCCGGTTTGCAAATTATTTTTGGAAGCCGAACGTCTGACAGGACTTCCGTGGCTTCCGATTGGGCCTAAGCACACATTCATATTGTATAAAGGTGCAAAGCCCTTCTCTCGCACCCTGTGAAACATAAATGCTCTGAGTTTTTAAAAAACTGGGCAACGGCGCACTGCCCGCCCATAACTCCTGAGCCTCCCCCGATCTCCTGCCCCCTTTCCCCTTTGTTTTGACTGATCGGGGGAGGCTTGGGAGTCGCGGGTGGGTGGCCGTTGCCCAGTTTTTAAAAAACTCTGCGCATTTATGTTTCACAGGGTGCGAAAGAAGGGCTTTGCCCCTTGCCTGGCAGAGAAACCACACACCTAGCGCCCCTCCTGGGCAATGGCCGCCCGCCCACAACTCCCGAGCCTCCCTGATCTGTCAAAAGAAAGGGAGAAGGGGGCAGGAGATCTGTATCGCTGGATGCCCCTGGTTCTTCCTTGGCAGTGGCGGCGGCAGTGGGCAGCAAGCAGCTCCTGAAGCCAGCCAGAGCCAACTGTGCTACCAGGCTGGCTCCAGGCTGCTGAGGCTGCCACTGCCACATTTCCCAGGGACAGATTTGCAAATCTGGGGACATTCCCGGGACGGAATTTGTCTGGGGACAGATTTGCAAATCCGGGGACTATCCCCAGGAACCGGGGAAGACTGGTAATCCTAGGCTACATGGGTTGGGGCGGTGGTGAGGATTGATGAAAGCAGGAATTGGTATCTGAATGGTATAGCAAGACTTTTCTAAATGGCCCTAGCAAGGGAGTTGAACCATTTGGTCATTGCTTCAGCCCTCAAAATAGCTTGGGCTGTTGCTTGATTTCTTACGACCGTTGTTTAACCATGGCAGCAAAGCTTGAACCTTGGTTTTTGGAAGCACCTTATGGCCACATTTACTTTGGCTTCAGTGTAGTTCCATGAAAACAAATTATTGCTTTAAAATCCCTTGAGTATCTAATAAACCGGGTTGTGCTTTATAATTGATGGTGTATTGTTATCAACAATCTCTTTGCTATCAGATTTAGGCCACAAACTTAGGCATACATATTTTAGACTAGCTCCTCTTGCCATCAGTGAAACACGCATGTTGAGATGGGCCAATCTATAATTAGCCAGTATGCTCCAGAAAATAAATATCTGGACTAGATTGGCTGAGCTGAAGTCTCCACCATGCCACTGGCCTATTGTGTGGTCCGGAAACCCCATTTTCCCAATTGTAAAATGGAAACATTAGCAATTTAGCTAAAAGAATTATTCTGTGGGGGTGAAACGTTGTGCATGTACATAAAACTATGCATGAATGATAAACTATAGGAATAAGTATAGTTTATTTAACCATATCTGCCCACTTACTTGCTATAGCTATAGATTTTTCTCATGATAATCCAAAAACCACGTTCTTAATAACCCTGATTTGTTTTGGCCACAACACTCCCAGGCTCTTCCAAGAACAAACACCTGGGGAATAAAGAAGGAATAAAATCTATTATGTTAAGAAAATCATTCTGGCCTGAGTCATGCTATCAGTCAAAGTCCCAACGCTGGAATGATGTAACCCAAATCAACAGAAATGAATATCAAAATTCATTATATATCGTTTTTTCACAGTGTATGTATTCATATTCTCAATAGAGTGGTAGTCCAATTCCTGTGTGGATTGGAGCAGATTTTGGCATCCAAAAGGTTAGCATTGAAATATCCATATCTAAACATGTATAATATAAAGAAAATAGAGAATAACTTCTAAAATATACATGGGAATTTGTTTTCACTGATGAAAAAGATAGTAATAGCAATGATAAACTTTGTTAAAACCGTACTAAAAAGGCTTCTTTCTTACAGCCTCATCAACTTGTATATAATATACTAGCAGGGCTTTTTGTCAGCAGGAACTCACCAGAACTCAGTTCCAGCACCTCTCAGGTGGGCACCATTGCCATTATAAGAGAATAAGGGAGATGTTCATTGTGATTTCCAGCACTTTCCCCCCTAGAAAAATAGCACTTTCTACTAGTATATGATATTGGGATTGATTATTTCCTCTGGGGTGAAGACAGTTGAATCAGGGCTTTATTCAGTATAAGTTTGCTGAAAAATTGGTTTGGAAGAGAAAGTGACCATTGGACAAAATACGTTGGGGAGAGGGTAAGAAGAAAGCAAAAAAATCCAGTTTCCCATCAATATGATATTGGAATGTGAAGGGGGTAATATCTTAGTTTACATTTAGTTTTGATTTTGGTTTTAGGAATGTTCCATTTTTGTTTTAGTTTTTCATGGCTCTTTGTGAGAATATTGACAACACTTCTCAAGTTGGCACTTTGATGCTTTCTCTCAGTCTCAGCAGCGGCAGTCTTCAATGGCTCCCATTCATCACAGGAATGACTGACAGGCGACAGGCAGACACAACAGAGAGACACGCTCCCAATGACAGCCAAGAGAAGGAGTTAGAGGGCAGTCTGACAATGCCCACACATCATTGGTGGCTGGTGGGGACTGGTTGGCTGGCTGAGGAGAAATAAGATTCGCATCTGAGGGGATGGGAGAGTAAGGAAGAGTAACACCTACCTGGTCCAGGGTACAAGAGGGTACCACTCCCATTAAAGGACTTGGAACTGTAAGGACATGGGTGCCAGAGTCCCTCTCTTTCAGTTGGACATCCTTCTTCAGGTGGTCCACATCAGCAGGAGGTCATAATGGCCGGTTTCACTCTTTCAAGTGGTCAGTAGCAGCCTGTGGTTGAAATAGCCAATCTCTTCAGACAGGCACTGTCACCATGAGGTCACAATGGCTACTTTCTCTTTGCTTGAGACATCCAGCATGAGCTCACAATGCCACTCTCTATCTCAGTGACACAGAGCAACATCATATGTGGACCAAATCTGTCTCCTTCTCCATCTCTCTGTCTCTGTCCCTCCCTCCCTCCCTCCCTCCCTCCCTCCCTCCCTCCGAGTAGCCCAAACCAGGAACTTGTGAACACCATCTTCCTTTCTTATTGAGGTGGGCACCAGCAGTGGACAGCAACCAGTCTCTCTCTGCCTCAGATGTGCAAGGTTGTGTAGGCAGAGAAGCAGCAGGTGAGGAGAAGAGGAGAGCTGGCAGACAACCCCCCCTCCCCCGTCTATTGAAGGGTTTCTATTTTCAATGGGCTCCCTAAAGTGTCTAGGCACCAGAAGCGGGTAGAGACAGCCAAAGACACATGGGCCAAAGCTTAATAATAATAATAATAATAATAATAATAATTTATGCCCCACCCATCTGGCTGGGTTACATGCCCGTAAGATCCCAACAGAATGTGAAAAGCACAGCAAAACATCAAACATTAAAAACTTCTCTAAACAGGGCTGCCTTCAGATGTCTTCTAAAAGTCAGATAGTTGTTTATTTCCTTGACATCTGATGGGAGGGCGTTCCATAGAGCGGGCGCCACTACTGAGAAGGCCCTCTGCCTGGTTCCCTGTAACCTCACTTCTCACGGTGAGGGAACTGCCAGAAGGCCCTCAGAGCTGGACCTCAGTGTCCGGGTAGAACGATGGGGTTGGAGACGCTCCTTCAGGTATACTGGGCCGAGGCTGTTTAGGGCTTTAAAGGTCTGCCCCAACACTTTGAATTGTGCTTGGAAATGTACTGGGAGGCAATGCAGGTCTTTCAGGACCGGTGTTATAACTAGGGCTTTTTTTTCCAGCTGGAAATTGCCATTATAAGAGAACAAGGGAAACGTTTGTGGTGGGTTTTGGCATCTCTTTTTCTAGAAAGCTAGCACTGGTGCTAACATCACCAGTTTGCAGAGTCTATCAGGATTGGGCATTGTGATGAAGGCAAACCTGCTGGTTTCAACCTGGCAGAAGGAGAGCAGACACTGTGAGATGCAGCAGGGCTTCAACTTTCCGTGTCTTCCCAACAGGGCACTTAGGAGAGAGGTAGGAGATGGGGGTGGATGGGGACAGAAGCAGTAGACTATTGAGAGAAGAAGATGAAGAGAGAAGTGATGGAGACTGACAGGATAGGGGGAGTTGAGAACAGAAAGGAACGGGCATGTAAGCAGGCACAGAAATGCTCATTCTCAAGAAGGCAGTTTGTCACTTAAAAGGTAAAGGTAAAGGGACCCCTGACCTTAGGTCCAATCATGGCCGACTCTGGCGTTGCGGCGCTCATCTCGCTTTATTGGCCGAGGGAGCCAGCGTACAGCTTCTGGGTCATGTGGCCAGCATGACTAAGCCGCTTCTGGCGAACCAGAGCAGCACATGGAAACGCCGTTTACCTTCCTGCCGGAATGGTACCTATTTATCTACTTGCACTTTGACATGCTTTCAAACTGCTAGGTTGGCAGGAGCAACGGGAGCTCACCCCGTCGTGGGGATTCGAACCGCCAACCTTCTGATCGGCAAGTCCTAGGCTCTGTGGTTTTACCCACAGTGCCACCTGTGTCCCTTAGTTTGTCACTTACCTGAAACAAAAGCCAAAAAAGAAAAATGGTATACAGAAGGAAAAAAAGTTTATTGATCTTATGTGTCTTGGACCCCAATGGTCCTTCTTCGAGGAGATTCAGAGGCCAGTAATTCAAAATTCAGGTGTGCAACCTCTTTTATTTCCTATACTATACACAGCCAATTAACCAGAAACAGAAGAGGTAGGACCTTCTGAAATCTGAATTGCTGTTCAGTGAATTTCCCTGAAGAAAGGCTTGAAAAACAATGATTAGAGGAGAGTGCAGGGTCACATCCACACTGTATATTTAAAGCACATGGGTTCCTCCCAATGAATCCTGGAAACAGTAGTTTGTTAAGGACACTGGGAAATTTAGCTCTGCGAGAGGTAAAATATAGTTGGCAAGGTTATTTGAGGGAAGCCATGTGCTTGTATGGTGTTGATGTGACCATCGGATTGGTAAAACCATGTTTTCTACAGACATTTAGAACTGCTGAAAGGAAGCACACATGTGACCATTCTCTATATAAAGTACACGTTTAGGAAATAAAATGTATTATCAAAAAAGGGGGGAGTCATATAAGGGGCATTATGCTGGCATCAGAGTACCTGTAAAATGTTTAATATGCACACGGGAATTCTTACAATTCAGGAAATGAAAAGCAAAATGTAAAAAAAGGGCCAGAACTGTCTCTCCCTGTTTGAATGGAAACGAGAATGTTACTTTATACGGAACTGTAAAATCAAGATAGCAAGGCTGCATCCCTAACCCAGCTTACCTTAGTGTAAGCCTATTTACCTTAGTGCAAGCCTATAAACTTAGCTTTATATTTAAAGATCTAAAAGCAGTTTACATCTCAATAAAAATTCCAAATACAGTATATAATATTAAATATAAATTCTGCATTCAATATGGCGGCTATTACTACTAAAATTCCACATTTTAAGCAATAACCATCCATACCTCTGTACTCCACCAACCACACACTCTGACTTTAAACATGATGGGAGAAAACCTGAATTTGAATACCAGATTTTGCTAACACTAGCAACTTTTGTTTGGGCTTGTGACTTGATTTGAACCAGGACCTCCTGGCTCACAGCTCCCACCATTAACTGCTCTGTTGTGCCAGCTCTCTCAACTGTACTTAGTTCTGTTTATATTTTCTCCATCCTCAGAGACTAAAAGAGAGAGAGGGCTCCCATTTCAGAGTCCTCTGGCTTGTTGTCATCTCCAAGCACTTGCCTTCACTTTTGTAGCTGCCGTTTTCTGGCTTGCCATTCACCCTCTCTTTGGAACTAATTTCACTCTTGATTAGCAGGAGTCAAGCACCAATGATTGAGAAGGAAGGCTCAAGTATCCTCTGTCAACCATGTTTATTTGCCCTTGTTTCAGTCTTTCTGTTTGATGTGAAGTGGACTTTCAGCAAGTCCTTTGGAACAGAGAGAGGGGGAAGGGTCAATGGCCTGGAAGAATAATGGCAAGAAAGGAGAACTTCTGTGTGCTCCTTTAGTAACCTCTAATGAGAGGATGGAAGGAGTGAAGCTGAAACAGCTGGCAAAGCATGTTCCCAAAGGCCATTTACTTGAAACATTTTCCGTGACCCCCAAATATTGGCCTTGTCTGGAAGCAACTTGCCTTGGATGTTCCTTCTACCTCTTTGTCTAAGGATTTTGCAAACCGATTGCCTACCTATGCTTCTTTGCCGCTGTGTCACGTGCATCACAGAAACCCACTGTGCAAATTTGGCCCTGGAAAGGCCCTAGGGATGGAATTAGCTGCATGGGTAGGCAAACTAAGGCCCGGGGGCTGGATTCGGCCCAATCGCCTTTTAAATCCGGCCCGCGGACGGTCCGGGAATCAGCATGTTTTTACATGAGTAGAATGTGTCCTTTTATTTAAAATGCATCTCTGGGTTATTTGTGGGGCATAGGAATTCGTTCTCCCCCCAAAAAAAAAATAGTCCGGCCCCCCACAAGGTCCAAGGGACAGTGGACCAGCCCCCTGCTGAAAAAGTTTGTTGACCCCTACCTAGGAGTCTGACTGTGAGAAAGTACCTGAGACAACAATCTTGTCTCAGAGAGAGAGAGAGAGAGAGAGAGGAGGGCAATCATATCCAGCCAAGGACACTTACTGAGAAGTTCTGTTAGTGGAAGATACATTTGCTGCTGAGTCATTATTTGGCCCTCCAGTCATGGAACTGGACTGTTTCAGGGGTAAAATTCATTTTGTGTCTCAAGCTTTTCTGTGTTAGCATCTTTGCTGCCAGCAATAAAGAGACATTAGCACCATGTCGTCTGAGTCATCAACCACTGTTTCTCAGGCTTTTAACATCACAGGGCCATTGACGCAGGCCTTTCCATCTGCTTTCAGCTCCTTGTTCTGAGATACCTTGTTGAACTTTATCCTGATAGTTCTTCAGGCTTCTTCTTCTTCTTCTTCTTCTTCTTCTTCTTCTTCTTCTCCTTCATTTGGCCACCCAGAGCAACTCAAAATAAGAGCAGTCTTCATAGAATTCCCAAGGTTCCATCTCTCTCCCCTTTTACAATACAAAAGCTAACAATTTTTTAAATGGAGCCCCTTTTCTAAGTGGCATGTCCTTCACTTGCTCATTGATCATTCATTGGCACATCTCACTCTGCCCTTCAGTGAAAATGAAGCTCTCAAGAATTGCTATTCGAAATGCAGGAGCTGAGCTGACCAGAAAATGAAAATGATTCCAAATGCACAAATCTAATATGGATGTTGGCATAATCAGAATTAGTTCGGTAAAATTACTGGGCATTCTTGAACTAAGCCAAGGGTCCAAACACAAAAGTTTTGGATCTATATACAACACGAACCTGTATTAGAAGGAGAAGGCTGAATTATTTGCGACAGTATTCTGCCTGTGTTTCTGAAAGGGTTCCGTATTTCACTAAGAGGAAGAATTGAGGTCTGAGTCTAAAATCTTTACTCCAGATCTCATTCTTGTGGCTTCTGGAAATATATGTTATTTCCATCCTTCTTTGCTTCCAACCAGCTTTACTAGCATGGGAGCAGTTTAAGGCTCAAATGGAGACACTGGCAACAATGGCAATTGTGGCAACCATTACGAACCAGTTTGAGAAATCCCAGTGGTTTAAGAATTTGGGGCCTCCCTCAGACACGGCACTTTCAGTGGGGAGGCCTAGCCTAGAAGAGGTGTACTATGCAGCCTGAGAATTCTTGTAAGCGGTATCTAATTGTCTTAGATTTCCTGGATACAGTGGAAAGGATAGCAGTGGCAGGGAAGTTGACATTTCTTTGGAGCCCTGGGAAATCGTCAGTCTTTGCTTCCCTCTGGAGCCAGTCCTGAAGCCAGCCCAAATCCTGTAATACATTCATCCCAACCTTAGTACTGCACCATGAGCTTCAGTTCCACCATTGTGCTAATACGCCCCATGGGTAAGACATCTCTTCTTTTTCACTTTGTCAGAAAGGTATTCATATATCCTCTAACACGTCAAGGAGAAAAACTGGGATGCCACCTTCTGGGGCTATGCTCCTGTACGAGTCACGTGACCTTCAAAAGTTCATGCCCACAGGAAAAGCATTCCCCTCCCCCCCCCGCGTGTGATTACAGTGTCCAAAATGGCCGCCATGCTCTCGTGAAAAATTGGGATGTCCCAGTTTTCCCAGGACAGCTGAGGGGTTTGTATTTGTAAACAAAGCAAAATAAATGAAAGCAAATTGCACCAGTTGAAGACTTTACCACCTACATGGCAAGAAGAAAGATGCTGAAGCTTTCCTTGCGCTAATAGTCATTATTATAAAAGATATGCATGTTAAGCGAAAAGCAAACCTTTGTTTTCCTGGTCAGCTTAAACAATATATCTGCCAGCATCTTTTCTGTTCTGCTGACAGTTCTTATCTTATCGCATTAATGCTGGCATAAATTGTCCATCAATATTCAAAATGATGGGCTCACTAGCGCATGACTGGAATTTTCATTGCAGCTGTGGTCGTTCCCCCTCCCGAGCTCAGATGTGCATTGTATGAAGCGAGCCTTTCCCAGTCTCTTGAGAGCTACAGAAACAGTAAAGGAAAAGACCAGTTGGGGAAGAACTGTTCACCATTGTAGAGAAATGCTAAGTATTGTCAGAAGCACAGAGCAAAAGAACTTATACCTATTTATCCCAAAGTCTCGGCATGGGTATCTGTGCACAATAAGTGCATGTGTGTGCCTTTACTCAAGGTTCAGCTTCTCTTGTCAGAAACTGCTAATGTTGAACTGAGAATTATCCATAGAGAACTTTCAACTTGAAATTAAGGTGGGATGAAATTAAGGTGGCGGGGGATCCCAAAATGGATTTCAGGGGGCGGGTGGGCATTTCTGAAAGTTTATGGGACTGAACCAAAGAATTGTGGCAGCATTCTTTTTTGTGTGTGTGGGAAAAAAGCCCCCAAAACTAACAAGCGAAAAGCTTAATTTAGCAGCATTAATACTGGAGCCATGGACAATGGATTAGAGGAGAGATGAAATATGACCAGCCTGGAAGAGCAAGGTATGTGTCCATTTGGCAACATCGGGAACAGGAGACTACTGAGGATGGCAAAAAGAATGCAAAGTGAATTTCTGAGGAGGGGTGAGATTTGTCCCACATATGACCCCCCCTTCTGGGGGGCGGGGTTTCAGTTCCTGGCTGTCACACAAGTCCATCCAGCCCCCTTTCAGCACCGAACATGTTGTGCATATCAGTGGCTGCACACATGCTGATCGTGGGCATGTGGGCAGGTCCCTGTATTCAATTTTAGAAAGAGAAATAACAATATATTTCATATTAATGCTCCTTTGCTAAATACGTGGGACTCTAGTTTCCCAGCAGGTGAGTCGCTGTTGCTTACCAGGAGGGGCTGGGCAAGTTGGTGTGCTGCAAACACACCAGCAGGAATGCCAGATTGAAGGGCATTTGCACCGTGCCTGCTTCCCGCTGTTTATTGAACGTTCATCTTGATTTGTTAATGTGGACATTATATGACATTGCCTGCAATCGGTTTTTATTTTGCATGTTTGAGTGCAATTTTACTGAACTTTTTTAGTGAAGAAAGTGACAGGATTTTTAATGCTTTCAGATTTTCACCTGGGCCTTCATGAAAAACCTTAAAGCAGCGCTCCATTGTTGATAATGGGATTTCTCTTCTTTCTTTCTTTCTTTCTTTCTTTCTTTCTTTCTTTCTTTCTTTCTTTGTACAGTGGTACCTCGGGTTACATACGCTTCAGGTTACATACGCTTCAGGTTACAGAGTCCGCTAACCCAGAAATAATACAGTGGTGCCTCGCAAGACGAAATTAATCCGTTCCGCGAGTCTCTTCGTCTTGCGGTTTTTTCGTCTTGCAAAGCACGGCTATTAGCGGCTTAGCGGCTTTAAGAAAAAGGAAACAAACTCGCAAGAACTCGCAAGACGTTTCATCTTGTGAAGTAAGCCCATAGGGAAATTCGTCTTGCGGAACGACTCAAAAAACACAAAACCCTTTCGTCTTGCGAGGCATTCGTCTTGCGGGGCACCACTGTACCTCGGGTTAAGAACTTTGCTTCAGGATGAGAACAGAAATCGTGCTCTGGTGGCGCGGCAGCAGCGGGAGGCCCCATTAGCTAAAGTGGTGCTTCAAGTTAAGGACATTTTCAGGTTAAGTACGGACCTCCGGAACGAATTAAGTACTTAACCCAAGGTACCACTCTATATAATTTTTATTAAATTTTCTGTTTTACAATTTAAAGTGCTGGAGATGCAAAGAGGTGGAGAGAACGTTCTTTCACATTGGGTGGACTTGTAAAAGGGTAAAAGAGTGTATTGGGAAATGATTCATAATGAATTGAAAAAAATGTTTAAAAGTACTTTCCCAAAACAAACCAGAGTCCTTTCTGTTGGGGATAATTCAGACTGAAATTCCCAGGTGTCCAAAAAGGTTATTTATGTATGCCACTACTGCGGCCTGTGTTTTGTTAGCCCAGAAATGGAAAACGAGTGAGGTCCCAACTAAAGAAGAATGGCAACTTAAGTTGACAGAATATGCGCAGCTTGCAGAGTTGACATATAGAATAAGAGAACAAGAAGAACATATGTTTAGAGAAGACTGGAAAATGTTTATTGAATATATAGGAAATAATTGTGTGCAGTTGAAATCACTGGCAGCATTAAGATAAATTCAACAGTGTTTTGATGGATGCAATAATGGAATACTGAATGGTATAGTTTTTTGTAAAATATGCAGGGATTTATGATATGTAAAATGTACCATGGAAAGAGAAGAAAGGAAGTCATTGATATCTTTCATTTAAAGCATCAACATAAAGCAAATCCTTATTTACTGTCAGGCTGTTCCCAATTCCTTTCCTGCTTATCCACTTGAATTTTAGTTAAAAACAGCAATAAAGGAGCAGCCAACATTTATGACGCTTGGCTCTTCCAACTGGGCACCGATCCGAAAGTTTACAGGTGCATACAGAGAAGCAGGATATTTTGTGGAAGGGTTGGGTGGGATTGCTGGAGGCATCAACAAGACAAATTTAGGTAGTTGGAAACTGTACAGCACAGTCTTGAAACACACTGGGGTGTTTTTTTTAAATGAATATTTATACTGTCTTGGTTTGGCTGCCCCTTCGCTTTTGTCGATGGCTAATCGGCCTGTTCTGCTAATGAATCCCTTACACCAAGTAATAGGCAAAGACATCACTATGTTGTTTCACATATTTATAGCCAGGCGCAAATGCTGCCCTTGCTCTGCTCACTTTGATTCATTCAGGGAAGCTCTGTAAAGTGTGGGCATCCCAATTAAGCAGCAAAAGTGGTGGCAGAAGAATTTCACAGACCCAAGTGACAAAGCTGCCATTTTGCACTTCCTTTCCCCTCTGTTACTTTTAAAGCATCACCTGAAACTCATTAACCAAATCATTTTATAGTGCCAAAACCTCAGTATCACATAAAAATGCATTATAAAGTATGTTAGGGTTGAGTCAGGGGGTGTGTGTGTGTGTGTGTTGGGAGAGAGAAGTCTTGCATGATTAATGCAAGATTTTTAATGACTCTCTCCAAACTCTTGATTATTCTCTGTGGCCAGAACCACAGAGCTTGGTACGTACAGAGCAGTTTTGCTGCTATAGGACTAAATTAATGAAGGCCAAGTGAGATACAAAGAATGAATGGTATTTAAAAGGCAGATCCGGGTCTGCATCTGGCATCAATTGGACAACTCTACTGAACATATTTGCAGCTGATCCAAATAAGCACTGCACAGCACCTTCAGCTGCTGTCAGATGGGATTACGCAAGAGTAAGAGCCAGTCTGCACTAATGTTCTGCAATGAAAATTATGTGAACGTTGAGTCTGATTCAAAGGTGCTCTTCCATTTGTGGAAAGAGTATTTCTGTCAACACAAGGGCCTCTGATCTAGTGGAGGGCTCCACTAATGTATGTAGGGTGATGAGGACACAAGACAATTTTTATTAATTCCCACCCCCTTCACTGCATCCTCTGGTCCACTTCCCATGCTATTCTAGAGAGTCCTTCAAGCATCCAAAGCAGATTTGCAGGGACACAGTGAAAGGAGGAATCAGCGAGGGGGAAAATTCACCTCCCCACATCTCTTAGTGGAGTGCTCTTGCTGTGAGAGGCTTGGCTCCAGCCCAGGATAAATAATGAAAGGAGCGAGTCAAGAAGGCGCAGGCTTGTGGTTTCACAACTGGCCTTGTCGTGTGCTCAGTCTGTGTCCAATGTGAATCTTACCTAGACCTTTCCTGGTTAGAAGCCTACACCAGAGACTTGCCACACAGCACACAGGTTCTGGGTTCATCTTGGCCACAAACACAATGGCCTGAGCTGTTGTAAACTATTCTGCTTATGCACAGAATTATAGTGTCAATTCTAAGCACTCTCTCTCTCTGTATCTATGTCTGTGTATAACCATATCCTAGAATTGTAGCATTGGAAGGGAGCACAAGGTGCAACCCCTCTGCAATTCAGGGATCTTTTGCCTAATGTGGGGCTTAAACCCACATATCAATTTTTTAGCTCTTTAGGTTGTAGAAAAAATGTCTTGAGCTCAGAAATTAGAGGATGGCAGATTCTGCTTAGGGACAGGTGAATCTGTCGCGTTGGGTTTTCCTTCATTTCTCAGTTTCACCCCACCTCAGTCTTAAGCTCATTTCTGCGTATCTCCACATCAGTTTGATACCCTTGTGAAAACTCACAAGGAGTTGTATATATGAATTCTGGTACACATTTACTTGGCTGCATTGCAAAATTTGGGGAAAGTGTGAATTTCAAAGGACGGTTGTGTTTCAGATTGCACATTATATTTAGAAAGCTGCAAATTAGGTAGCAGTTTTAAATGTGATCAGAATCTCGTTTCTCCCTCCCTAAGTCCTCTAATTTCACCACTTAGGGGTTTTGTTACAATCAAGCAGTATGCAAAAGTTGTGAGTTCTCATCAGTGCAAGCAAGATTTCCTCTCCTTTTTATTTTTTATGAATAAGGAATTAAAATTAGCATTTTTGCTGCCTTTTCTGTTCAAAAGAATATGCAGAAGGGCCAGAATTGGAATCCTGGCAATAAAAGAAGCAATGGACATGAAAGCATGGGCTGCTAATTAAAAACCTTAAAATCATATCACAATGACTTTAAAATGAGAATGATCTCAGTCTAATCACATAATACTTTCCTTTGTCCTCTGGGTCATGCAGTCACTCAGATGCAATATTCAGGAAGCACATTTCATTAGACTAAATAAAGCTTCAATCATGTGTAAAATTTCCAAGTTGAATAGGCAGCCATCATATCATTCATCAGTCCCCACGCATTTAATGGGTGTAATTTCTTCCTCATATCTCTGTGTTTATTGTTTCATTTTTCTCTATAGGAATCCAGCCACCTTATCGAGATTGCTTGTTGTCAAGGCCAGGCTTGAGTAAATAATGCAGCTGAGGGTGGACTCGCTAATATGTTTCCTCTAGATTGTCAAGGAATGGGGGGAAATTTGATTGAACGTAGCCTGACATTCAAAGTGTTTGGATGCAGGGAGACTGCACAGAGGGAGCACCGAGGAGAGGGAGGGCTTCCTAGCAAAACCTGCTCGCTGTGAAA